AGCATTCAGGGAGCAAAAACACTGTCACCCCTGCAAACACACTCTGGCCACACAAAACACCCTGGCGTCCCACAAAACACTCTGAGCACACACAAAAACACTCTGAGCACACACAAAAACACTCTGAGCACACACAAAAACACTCTGAGCACACACAAAAACACTCTGAGCACACACAAAAACACTCTGAGCACACACAAAAACACTCTGAGGTCCCGCAAAAACACTCTGGGGTCCCGCAAAAACACTCTGGGGTCCCGCAAAAACACTCTGGGGTCCCGCAAAACACTCTGGGGGTCCCACAAAAACACTCCGGCGGCCCACAAAACATTCCGGCGACCCCACAAAACACTCCGGCGACCCCACAAAACACTCCGGCGGCAAACAAAAACACTCTGGCGTCCCACAAAACACCCTGGCGTCCCGCAAAAACACTCCGGGCCCGCAAAAATATTCTGGTGCCCCCCCAAAAACACTCCAGCGTCCCACAAATCCGTGAAAATGAAGTACCTTTCATGATGGCCTGCAGAGACGCCACCTCCTCCTGCCACTGCTGCCGGACCTGGTCGATGGCTTCCTGTTTGGTGTTCTCGGACACGGTGGCGACGGCTTTGATGGTCTCCATCTCGGCGCGCGCCTGCTCCAGCTCCGTCTGCGCCTGCTCCAGCTGCGTCTGCACCGACGACAACTGCGACTGAGACTGCTCCAGCGCCGCCATCTGACGCTTCAGCTCCTCTGCACGCGCACACACAAACACACACACATAAGATATACACACACACACATAAGATATACACATACACACATAAGATATACACACACACAGAGACACACACACAACACATACACACACAAGATATACACACACACACACACACATAAGATATACACACACACACATAAGATATACACACACACACATAAGATATACACATACACAGAGACACACACACACATAAGATATACACACACACAGAGACACACACAGTACATGTATAAATAGAGTGTCCCAAAAGATGTAACATTTTACAGGTCGTGGGTGGATGAGTGTGTGGGTGTTGGGGCGTCGCCCGTGGGTGTGTGTGTGTGGGTGTTGGGCGTGGCCCGTGGGTGTGTGTGTGTGTGGGTGTTGGGGTTGGCGTGGTTGTGGGTGTTTGGGCGTGACCCGTGGGTGTGTGTGTGTGTTTGTGGGTGTTGGTGTGTTGTGGGTGTTGGCGTCGCCCGTGGGTGTGGGTGGGTGTTGGGCGTGGCCCGTGGGTGTGTGTTTGTGGGTGTTGGGCGTGGCCCGTGGATGTGTGTGTGTGTGTGGGTGTTGGGCGTCGCCCGTGGGTGTGTGTGTGTTTGTGGGTGTTGGGCGTCGCCCGTGGGTGTGTGTGTGTGTGTGTGTGTGTGGGTGTTGGGCGTCGCCCGTGGGTGTGTGTGTGTGGTGGTGTGGGCGTCGCCCGTGGGTGTGTGTGTGTGGGGTGTTGGGCGTCGCCCGTGGGTGTGTGTGTGTGTTGTGGGTGTTGGGCGTCGCCCGGCCGTGGGTGTGTGTGTGTGTGTTTGTGGGGTGCCCGTGGTGTGTGTGTGTTGTGGGTGTTGGGCGTGCCCGTGGGTGTGTGTGTGTGTGTGTGGGTGTGGCGTGCCCGTGGGTGTGTGGTGTGTGGGTGTTGGGTGGCCGTGTGGTGTGTGTGTGTGTGTGTGTGTGTGTTGGGCGTGGTGTGTGTGTGTGGGCGTGGCCGTGGGTGTGTGTGTGTGTGTGGTGTGTGGGCGTGGCCGTGGGTGTGTGTGTGTGTTTGTGGGTGGTGGGCGTGGCCTGTGTGTGTGTGTGTGTGTGTGTGTGTGTGTGTGTGTGTGGGTGTTGGGCGTGGCCCGTGGGTGTGTGTGTGTGTGTGTGTGTGTGTGGTGGTGTGGCGTGGCCTGTGGGGTGTGTGTGTGTGTGTGTGTGTGTGGGGCGTGGCCTGTGGGTGTGTGTGTGTGTGTGTGTGTGTGTGTGTGTGGGCGTGTGGGTGTGTGTGTGTGTGTGTGTGGGTGTGGGTGGTGGGCGTGGCCTGTGTGTGTGTGTGTGTGTGTGTGTGTGTGTGGGTGTGTGTGTGTGTGTGCGTGGCCTGTGTGTGTGTGTGTGTGTGTGTGCGTGTGCGCTCGCTCAGACGGGGGGGATGGCCTCTCTGCTCAGGGAGTACCTCTGGCTCTGGGTGGTCCTCATGGTCCTCCTGCTCTCCACCTTCATCTGCCTCATCTTCGTCTGCATCAACAGGTGGATCTGGCACCAAGGTACGAGTCCTCACAACTCACAGTTCTGCCGTTCTGCTGTTGCTCCTCGCGCTCGGAGCCGCGGCTGCGTTTGTGTCAGTAAATCTTGATTATTATTCTGAGTCTGTTACATCTACAAAACCCCAAACGCTCTGCTCCACCTCGTGTGCAGTGTCGGGAAAATGTAATCCCCTACAGATTACAGATTACTCACACCAAATGTAGTTTGTAACAGAATCCATTAAATGACTTAAAGTGAGTAATGTAATCTGATTACTTTGGATTACTTGATTTGCTGTAGAGAAACAAAGACGAGGAAATCTTCACATAAGAAGTTTTATCTGATAAAAGAAAATAAAAAGTCCAAACTTTACTGAACCAAATTAAAAATATTATTGATAAAAGACGAAGAAACACGTCCACACAGCAGGATTTAGTTCTGGTTTAGACCTGATTTAGTCCTGGTTTAGTCCTGGTTTAGTCTTGGTTTAGTCCTGGTTTAGTTCTGGTTTAGTCCTGGTTTAGTCTGGTTTAGACCTGGTTTAGTCCTGGTTTAGTTCTGGTTTAGTCCTGGTTTAGTCTTGGTTTAGTCCTGGTTTAGTCCTGGTTTAGACCTGGTTTAGACCTGGTTTAGATCTAGTTTAGACCTGGTTTAGATCTAGTTTAGACCTGGTTTAGACCTGGTTTAGATCTAGTTTAGACCTGGTTTAGACCTGGTTTAGATCTAGTTTAGACCTGGTTTAGATCTAGTTTAGACCTGGTTTAGACCTGGTTTAGATCTAGTTTAGACCTGGTTTAGATCTGGTTTAGACCTGGTTTAGTCCTGGTTTAGTCCTGGTTTAGTCCTGGTTTTAGACCTGGTTTAGTCCTGGTTTAGTCCTGTTAAATCCTGTTTTAGTCCTGGTTTAGTCCTGGTTTAGACCTGGTTTAGTCCTGGTTTAGTCCCAGTTTAGTCCCAGTTTAGTCCCGGTTTAGACCTAGTTTAGTCCTGGTTTAGTTCTGGTTTAGTCCTGGTTTAGTCCTGTTAAATCCTGTTTTAGTCCTGGTTTAGACCTGGTTTAGTCCTGGTTTAGACCTGGTTTAGACCTGGTTTAGTCCTGGTTTAGACCTGGTTTAGTCCTGGTTTAGTCCTGGTTTAGTCCCTGGTTTAGACCTGGTTTAGTCCTGGTTTAGACCTGGTTTAGTCCTGGTTTAGTCCCAGTTTAGTCCCAGTTTAGTCCTGGTTTAGACCTAGTTTAGTCCTGGTTTAGTCTGGTTTAGTCCTGGTTTAGTCCTGGTTTAGTCCTGGTTTAGACCTGGTTTAGTCCTGGTTTAGTCCCAGTTTAGTCCTGGTTTAGTCCCAGTTTAGTCCTGGTTTAGTCCTGGTTTAGACCTGGTTTAGTCCTGGTTTAGTCCCAGTTTAGTCCTGGTTTAGTCCCAGGTTTAGTCCTGGTTTAGTCCTGGTTTAGACCTGTTTAGTCCTGGTTTAGTTCCTGGTTTAGTCCTGTTTAAATCCTGTTTTAGTCCTGGTTTAGACCTGGTTTAGTCCTGGTTTAGTCCTGGTTTAGACCTGGTTTAGTTCCTGGTTTAGACCTGGTTTAGTTCTGGTTTAGTCCCTGGTTTAGTCCTGGTTTAGTCCTGGTTTAGACCTGGTTTAGTCCTGGTTTAGACCTGGTTTAGTCCTGGTTTAGTCCTGGTTTAGTCCTGGTTTAGACCTGGTTTAGTCCTGGTTTAGTCCTGGTTTAGACCTGGTTTAGACCTGGTTTAGTCCTGGTTTAGTCCCTGGTTTAGTCCTGGTTTAGACCTGGTTTAGTCCTGGTTTAGTCCTGGTTTAGACCTGGTTTAGTCCTTGGTTTAGTCCTGGTTTAGTCCTGGTTTAGTCCTGGTTTAGACCTGGTTTAGTCTTGGTTTAGTCCTGGTTTAGTCCTGGTTTAGTCCTGGTTTAGTCCTGGGTTTAGTCCTGGTTTAGACCTGGTTTAGTCTTGGTTTAGTTCTGGTTTAGTCCTGGTTTAGTCCTGGTTTAGTCCTGGTTTAGTCCTGGTTTAGTCCTGGTTTAGTTCTCTGTGTAATCCATTTATTTGAACAAAGTAACTGTAATCCAATTCCCACTCACTGAAACAGTAACTGTAACTGAATACAGTTACTCATCATTTGTACTCTGATTACTCTGGTACTTGTAATCTGTTACTCAACGACGCTGCTCGTGACGTCATGAACTTTTCAAGTGAACGTCTCCTTTTCTCTTTAGTCGAGTCGAAAAACTGCGCCAAACGTCTCTGACCTGAGCAAGATTTTAAACTTTCAAACTTTTAAACTTTCAAACTTTCAAACTTTCAAACTTTTAAACTTTTAAACTTTCAAACTTTCAAACTTTCAAACTTTCAAACTTTTAAAACTTTTTAAACTTTCAAACTTTCAAACTTTTAAACTTTTAAACTTTCAAACTTTTAAACTTTCAAACTTTCAAACTTTCAAACTTTCAAACTTTTAAAACTTTCAAACTTTCAAACTTTTAAACTTTTCAAACTTTCAAACTTTCAAAACTTTCAAACTTTCAAACTTTCAAACTTTCAAACTTTCAAACTTTCAAAACTTTCAAACTTTCAAACTTTCAAACTTTTAAACTTTCAAACTTTCAAACTTTCAAACTTTCAAACTTTTAAACTTTTAAACTTTCAAACTTTTAAACTTTCAAACTTTCAAACTTTCAAACTTTCAAACTTTTAAACTTTTCAAACTTTCTATCAGGTTCTTCGTGTTTTATGATGGACTCACTCGTTCTGAGACGCTTCGTTCTCGTCTAGACGTCGTTTATTTGAAGATAAACATTTCCTTTCTTCATTTTTAAGACATTTTCCGACAGATTTAAGAGTTTTTTTTACATTTTGGTCGAGTGTTTCTGACTGAAAAAACAAGGATCCAGGTGAAGGTGAAGTGTGGAGTTTAAAAACACAGTGGAGCACTTCCTGTATCACCACACGATGACATCACCAGGTGGAACAGAAAGAACTCGTGCGGTTAAACGTGTGTGAAAGAAAAAAAACAAAAACACATGTATTACAAGTACCAGAGTAATCAGAGTACAAATGATGAGTAACTGTATTCAGTTACAGTTACTGTTTCAGTGAGTGGGAATTGGATTACAGTTACTTTGTTCAAATAAATGGATTAAACAGAGAACTAAACCAGGACTAAACCAGGACTAAACCAGAACTAAACCAGGACTAAACCAGGACTAAACCAGGACTAAACCAGGACTAAACCAGGACTAAACCAAGACTAAACCAGGTCTAAACCAGGACTAAAACCAGGTCTAAACCAGGACTAAACCAAGGACTAAACCAGGTCTAAACCAGGACTAAACCAGGACTAAAACCAGGTCTAAACCAGGACTAAAACCAGGACTAAACCAGGACTAAACCAGGTCTAAACCAGGTCTAAACCAGGACTAAACCAGGACTAAACCAGGTCTAAACCAGGACTAAACCAGGTCTAAACCAGGACTAAAACAGGACTAAAACCAGGACTAAAACCAGGTCTAAACCAGGACTAAACCAGGTCTAAACCAGGACTAAACCAGGACTAAAACCAGGTCTAAACCAGGACTAAACCAGGACTAAACCAGGTCTAAAAACCAGGACTAAACTACCAGGACTAAACCAGGACTAAACCAGGACTAAACCAGGACTAAACCAGGACTAAACAGGTCTAAACCAGGACTAAACCAGGACTAAAACCAGGTCTAAACCAGGACTAAACCAGGTCTAAACCAGGTCTAAACCAGGACTAAACCAGGACTAAACCAGGTCTAAACCAGGACTAAACAGGACTAAACAGGGACTAAACCAGAACTAAACCAGGACTAAACCAGGACTAACCAGGACTAAACCAGGAAAACCAGGTCTAAACCAGGACTAAACCAGGTCTAAACCAGGACTAAACCAGGACTAAACCAGGTCTAAACCAGGACTAAACCAGGAAAACTAAACCAGGACTAAACCAGGACTAAACCAGGTCTAAACCAGGACTAAACCAGGACTAAACCAGGACTAAACCAGGACTAAACCAGAACTAAAACCAGGACTAAACCAGGACTAAACCAGGTCTAAAACCAGGACTAAACCAGGTCTAAACCAGAACTAAACCAGGACTAAAACCAGGACTAAACCAGGACTAAACCAGGAACTAAACCAGGACTAATAAACCAGGACTAAACCAGGACTAAACCAGAACTAAACCAGGACTAAACCAGGACTAACCAGGACTAAACCAGGACTAAAACCAGGTCTAAACCAGTTAAAACCAGAACTAAACCAGGTCAGGACTAAACCAGGACTAAACCAGGACTAAACCAGGTCTAAACCAGGACTAAACAGGACTAAACCAGGACTAAAACCAGATCTAAACCGGACTAAACCAGAACTAAAAAACTAAACAGGACTAACCAGGACTAAACCAGAACTAAACCAGGACTAAACCAGGACTAAACCAGGACTAAACAGGTCTAAACCAGAACTAACCAGACTAAACCAGGACTAAACCAGGACTAAACCAGGACTAAACCAGGACTAAACCAGGACTAAACAGAACTAAACCAGGACTAAACCAGGACTAAACCAGGACTAAACCAGGGGATAAACCAGGACTAAACCAGACTAAACCAGGACTACTAAAACCAGACTAAACCAGGACTAAACCAGGACTAAACCAGGTAAACGGACTAAACCAGGACTAAACCAGGACTAAACCAGGTCTAAACCAGAACTAAAACCAGACTAAACCAGGACTAAACCAGGTCTAAACCAGGACTAAACCAGGACTAAACCAGGTCTAAACCAGGAACTAAACCAAACCAGGAACTAAACCAGGACTAAACCAGGTCTAAACCAGGACTAAACCAGGAAAACTAAAAACCAGGAACTAAACCAGGATCTAAACCAGGACTAAACCAGGTCTCAAACCAGAACTAAACCAGTAAACCAGGACTAAACCAGGACTAAAACCAGGACTAAAACCAGGAACCAGGATAACCAGGACTAAAC